TATTCCACATCATTAAAAAAACACAATCAGCATTTCATGTATACATCACTTAAACGCGTTTTCTCAATTTAACGAAAAATTTCTATTTGATTCAATTTTAAAATATAAAGACCCAATTAAAATGTCACAAAAGTGAGAAACTTATTTAAAATTCTGAACGAAAATATTATCATAAGAAAATATTAAACCAGAAATCTAATTGTAGCTCTCCATGCTTCGACGCTAGTCTTTTCTATTCCAACTAGTTTCTGAAACATGCATTTTCTCAACGTGCACACGTGTCCTTCAAATCAAAATCCTATATTAAAACAAATATCTAAAAACAACGATTAATTAACGTTGTTGAATTTCCGCTCTGTTTGGAAAAATCTCCATCCGTGAAAACACTTAACATTTTGTTCAAATGTTGAACAATTCCGCAGTCAAATTTTATCTGTTGCTTAAAACGTCATCTCACATCCCTCTCTATTTTGTTCCGTCAATTACTTTTCCCACTCCAAAATCCATTTTCTATATTCTCTGCTGAAAATAGTCAAAAATACAGATAAGAAGAAAAAAATATACATAGAAAAGGGCCACTTGAGTTTGGAATTTCATTTTTCACGCACATAAAAATTCAATATATACTAACCTTATCTCTTTCTTGCTGGTAATGGCAATGCGCCTACCTTCCGAACGGTGAGTCATTTTACACGTGCATAAACTACGTATACAGTATTAAAAAATTGCAAGCAGCATAAAGAAAGATGTGGACATAGGAAGATCGAAATTAACGAAACCTAACAGGAACAATTTGAAGTTGATTTTTAAGTACAAAATGTGATTCATGTGGGTGAGTAAGCTTTGTGTGGCCGAAAACTACCTTCTAATAAATTAAATGCTTCCATTCCATCATTGCTTTATCTCGTGGATCGATTCATTCTTTAGCCGAAAATGAAGACCAAAATTTTCACCTTTTCTAAAAAGGAACCTAAAACCCAACGAGTTAGCCCAAACAATCCCACCTATTTACACAAAATAAACATTATTTCTTTTTTCATAACCCGCTGAACTTCATTGCCTGAACCCGAATCCCACCGGCTGAACCGGGAACTTAAACCCACACGTGTCCACCGGGTTCTGATACCCCTGCGTAAAATCGTTCTGAAGAAACCACGGGTTATTGTTGTTTTGGCTTCTCACGCCGCTTTGCACCTCTTCCTCCATCTTTTGCGGAAGCGTAGACTCCACGTGGCAGAAGGTGGGGACATAAAGGTCATTGCACCCGCCGTAGTTCACCATCCCCTGTGTGTGCTCCTGCACCACTTGATTATTCCCCGAAACGAAATCACCCACCGAATTCAGAACCGCAGGGTTGGCCCAATCCACCAACCCACCCAGGTTCTGATGAACGCTCACCTTCTCCTCCTGCTGTGCCTGCATCGTACTGACACGTGGCATCGCGAAACATCGTTCGTCGATCGTCGGCAGCGATTCCAGAACGTCGTCCAGATGGGACGAAGACGACGACGACGAACCGTTGCTGTATTGAGTGTGTTCCCTGCTCGAAACGACGCCGTTCTGCGCCGCCTTCTGTGCACTCGAGTTCTTCTTGTATATACGACACAGAACCCAATCGTCCAGCTGCACCATCGATCAAACGCTCCAATCAATTAATGGTGTAACAATTACCATTAATAACATGTTTAAAGAGAACTTATTGCTCCATAAATCATCTATGGTTTCTCAATCTACTACAACCTTTATTTAATTAACCAAAAAGGAAAGTAAACTCGATTATTTATAATATATACCTTGGTTCCGGTGGTCTTTCGGGAAGAGTCAAGGAGGCGATACTCGTGCATGATCCAATTTGTTTTGGTGCCTTTAGGAGCTTTGCCAACGTAAAAGACCAGAGCTTTTTTTATGCCAACTTTTCTACCCTCGGTGGTGATGATCTTGTCGGTTCCGGTGGCTTTCCAATACCCCGACCCGGCTACTCTGTTGGGTCGAGACCCGTTTGGGTACTTCCTGTCTCGAGGGCTGAAAAAGTACCACTCTTTCTCCCCGAAAATCGCCTTGCCTGAGAAATTAACAGCTCGTGTCAATTCAATATAGAACGACAAGAGAAAAAGCAAAAAATAAAAAGAAGAGAGAAATTGTATTTACTTGGGAGAACCCATGGGTCGAACTTGTACAAATCAATTTCAGCAATGATTGGGAGAGAGAAATGGTGGCCGGCGACCTTGCGGCAGAGATACTGAACGAGAAGCTCCTCGTCGGTGGGGTAGAACCGAAAACCAGGTGGTAGACTCAACTGGGCAAGAGGGTCTTTCTCTGGAACTCCCATTTTCGAAAGCAATTCAATCGTCTCAGCTAACACAACAAAGAAAACCGATGAGGATGAAGTAGTGCAGAGGAAGATGTTTTGTTTTCCCTTTCCTTTCTTCTTCTTTTTTTCTCAGAAACCGATAGACATTGGTCGATATTTATAGCGGCACATGGGGTAAGATAAGTACGGTTATCTTTGTCTTACTGTTGGAGAGCGGGACCCACTTGAGTTACTCGCCTGTTGGACTTCACCACGTGTCTGGAACAAAAAGGCGTCCAGACAGTCGACCTTATCGGTTCCGATACGGTCGTGGTCGTTCGGTAGGTGCATTGCATGTAGCCGTAAAACTCAAAGTTAAAAAAAAATAAATAAAAAATAAATAAAAAATAAAAGCACCTACTTTTCATTCAAGGTTAAAAGTAAAAGGACAGAAAAATCCACACGGGATTGCGCCATTCCCGTGAAAGTTAAAAGCCTAATAAATCAGATTCATACAGCAAATGTAAGAGAATTTCTTCAATCAAGGAATTAAAAAAATAAAAAAAGCTATCATGAACCAGATTTGATCGAGCGACACGTGTAAGTGATAGTGTTCCATGTTGAGTGTTCTAGAAGCGGAGTTGTGCAGTATCCACTACGGTGTGTGTGAGATGAGAGAGTGTTTTAAAAAAGAGTGCGAAATCATTTTTCACGCGCGAGTTTAAACCACGTCGGCAATGGCTAAAGAGAGGGTGCGGGAAGAGTGTACACGTGCGGGCACGTGTCCATGTAAGAGATAGATTGAGAGAGTTAGGCTGGACTTTTGTTACAACCGGTAACATAGAAAACGATAGCTCAAAGCAGCACAAAAGGTTGGTGCGGTGGCCGCTTCCACCTTTCGACACGTGTCCCCCTCTTCTTTTCTTTTCTTTCCTCCTTTCCCTTTTGCCCTTTTTAATCTACCAATATTTTTATTATTATAATATTTATTTATTAATAATAATGCGTGTTTCTTTCCCTGATCAAACTCCGTTACAAGTATGAACATTTAATTGGTATGTTGGTGTGGCTTAGCTTTCAAAGTATAGGGTCATTTTCGTAGAAAAGATAGGGTGGTGACGTGGTGGTGAAGGTCAAAATATTGTAAATTGTGGTATTATGTAATGTAATGCAGTGGCGCGATTGTTCGTGATTGATTGGTGACGTATTAGAGTTTTGTGAACGTGTGTTGGAGATAGGGAAGGGAAGAAATTGTGATGGGCATGTTTTAGAGGTGTTGTGTGTCTGTTTAGTGAAGAAGATGGAGAAATGTGTAAGAAAAGGTAAGTGCGAGAACAAAAAGATAATGTGACGTGGAGAGATATATTTACCAAGCATTATATATAGTATGAGCACACAATGGAGAAATTAATTGTGTGGTTGACAAATGATGTGAAAATGTTGAAGATTGGAGAAGGAGAGGCACTGTGGTCAATAGGGTGTTACTTTGAAG